CCAGGTATGTTTCTGAAGGCCTTGATGATACCATTGTCTTCATTATAGATGATACAGGGGCCCCTGCGCTGGATACGACGACGGTTTCTCATTTTGCCTTTGCCAGCTCTCATTCGTTGAGAGGCATAGACCTACAAAATGAGCAATTTCAATATTAAGGTAAATGAAGTAGTAATTATTAAGGTATACATCTGTCATGGATCTTCATAGTTAAGTAYGTGCTTTCTCAGACACCATTCTGACAAAGTATTGCATCTATACTGTGTATACGTCTTTCCTAGTAATTATTCCCTAGATAATACAATGCAGAACTTTTTACGTAGCATCTACATTATATTAGGTAGAAATAATTTTTTAAGATGAGGTGTATAGGTTATATGGAAATACTATAGTACCTCACTTTGTGAGGCTTGGGCATTAATGGATCTTATTATGGAGACAAGGATGGTCCTGACTGTCCTATCTTTCACAGTTTTCCTCTTGAAAATCAAGAATCTGAGGTTGGGGTTGTGGCTCAGCTGTAGAGCGCTGGCCTAGCATGTGCAAGGCCCTGGTTTCGATCCTCAGCACTACATAAAAATAAACAAAATAAAGGTATTGTGTACAACTAAGAAATAAATATTTTAAAAAAATGCTTAAAAAAAAAAGAGAAGAAAATCAAGATCTGACAAATTTCTATACATCAAGAACCACCAAACTGGGGCTTATGGTTCGAGCTCAGTAGTAGAGTACATGCCTTGCATGTGGTGAGGCACTGGGTTCGATCCTCAGAACCACATAGAAATAAATGAATAAGATGAAGGTATTGTGTCCATGTACAACTTACAAACAAAACCCACCAAACTGTAAATATGCACATTAAGCCTACCTTTTTTTTTTGGTACTGGAGATTGAACCCATGGGCACTTAACTGAGCCACACCCTCAGTCCTTTTTAAATGTATTTTTTTAGAGACAGGGCCTTGATAAATCCCTGAGGATGGCCCTCTGAACTTGTGATTCTCCTTGTCGCACCCTCCCTAGCTGCTGGGGTTACTGGCAGGTGCCATGGCACCCAGCTAAGCCTACCTTTTTGATATCATTCCAGGCTTTAAGCTTCTTAAGAAGCAAAACAGCCTCCTTGGTCTTCTTGTAACCTTCAACTTTATCTTCCACCACCAAAGGGAGTTCAGGAACTTCCTCAATTCGATGACCTGACAAAACCAATTCAATACTTATCTGGTTACCTGAATTCTTTGAAAAAAATTTTATATAACTTACAAAAAGCAAAATGGTACACAATTTGCCAAATCAGAATTTCCACAAATATCATTTGTTTCAGAAACACGGACCAATGAAGTGGAATCTCATCATTTTGACAAGTAAAAATGTGCACAAGGGAGATGATGTGATATGAAAAGCTTTCTATTTATATAACTACTATTTGAAGAATTTCCAGTTACATRGCTATTGTTAGATCATCAACTTGTTATTTAGAAGTAATCAAAACCTATTCTTAATAAAGGGAAATTTAGACTCTCTAGGATGAACACAGGCAAATTATAACAAAATATTACAAACCTTTAGACATGACCAGGGCCGGTAAGGCTGAGGCAGCCAAAGCAGAGCAGATGGCATATCGCTTTTGGGTTGTGTTCACTCTCCGGTGCCAACGACGCCATGTTTTGGTTGGTGCGAACATGCGGCCTCCTCTACACATCTATTTCCTTAGTTAAGAATAAAACTTCTTGGGGCTGGGTTGTGGCTCAGCAGTAGAGCACTTGCCTAGGATGTGTGAGGCCCTGGGTTTGATCCTCAGCACCACATAAATAAAATAAAGATATTGTGTCCAAGTACAACTAAAAAATAAATATAAAAAAAGAGTAACACTTCTTAAAATTACACATGAGGAAATGGTTATGTCTTGCTCAGTAACAATTTTCGTCAACCTTCTGTAACAGCTTACTGACAGCAGGCAACTGTCGCTGAGAACAGAGTAAGACGCAAATTACGACATCATTGCAAGACAAACCTCCCTGCGTGAAGCCTTTTCTCTTGAATAATTTTAWTTTCACATGTGTCTCAAGCAACGGATAACTTGAACACTTAATATTTTAGATGTAAAGAGTTCAAAATACATTTAATGTGTATAAACCGGGCACAGTCTGCTAGATTCCACAAACTGACCAGTGTAGGTAGTAAAAGGATACATTTCCAAAGGCACCCTGGCCAGAACGGTGAGTCCCACCACCTCGAACTCTGGGGATTCGAGCCACAGCTCTACCAGTACCCCAAGACTCAGCACTGGTTTGATGACCTGCCAATTCACTGACAGCATAGGGCTGTCTGTTGTTTTTACGCAAGTTGGTATGAACAAAGTTCACAATATCTGGTCGAATTGGGGCCTTGAACACAGCAGGCAAAGTGACATTTTTGCCAGATGACTCCCCCTTTTCAGAGTACACAGATATCAGGGGTCGAGCACACGCCTTGGGGAAAAAAATTGACAAGCAACATTAGAGGTGAACTCTTCTCATATGCCAACAGCAAACTATCAGTTATATAAGAGCTCAGTTTTGTGAGGCAGACATTGCTTAAGGCTTAAACACCATATAAAGCCTCAAACAATATCAAATTATTAACACTTCAATAAATTCTTAGGCCTGTCCCAAGCTCCACAGTTTTCAAGGGTTGAAAATGCAGTTTAATCTCACCACCTAAACTTTCTGAACTCACTCATCCAACCTTTCATTTCTGTTGCTCCCCCTTACCTCTTCCAAAGCTTGCTAGTAAAAACTTGTCAGGTTACTTTTCCTTCATCTTTCCTAAAAACTTTTCACTGGAAGTAGTAGCGTCTTAAGGATGGCTTATACAATCTCCTCTCTTCCAGATATCGGCCCACCTTTTGTTCTTTCCAGTTTTGGGGTTCAGCACTGGGCCTCGCTCAAGTGCTGGACCACTAAGTTATGAGGTCACCTTCTCCAATCACTGTTTTAAGTTGATAATTACATCCTCTCCAATTTCCTATGTCAAAGGCACTTACAATTGAATATTACTATGTTTTCAGTCCAACTCAACTGCAATCCATGTATAGAGTGTTGTCTRTCTTGTTCACAAACTCCAGTACATTACATTGCACACAAGCATGGTATTTAAAACATAGTGGACACCCAACGTTAGTCATACCGTGAGTTTGCTAAAAGTTTAAACATTAGACGGTGTCAAATACAGCAACGAATCTCAAAGCTTTTTACAGAAATCATCTCAATACTGGGCATTCAGGAAAAAGGTTTAATACAAGTTTTCCCCTCTTGAACAAAGTTCCTTAAAAGATGGAAATATACCTAGCTAGAGAGCACATTTAGACATAAGGCACAAACCTGTCCTTACCACCCAGCTTCTCAGGCGCCCAGAGCTCCCATTCTCAACAGAACTCTAGTTTTCCAGGATCCAAAAGCAGCTAGAATCCAAAAGTTCGTTTGAGAACGACCGAGGAGCTTCCAGGCGCGCCCTAGTGCCCGGCCTCCCACGTTGCCTAAGATGGCTGCCGGGTCGCCATACAACCCAGTTCTCCCCGAAAACAGACGCCTTTGGAACTCTCGTCCTCGATTCCTCCCCTGCATATTTTGTTTTCTGAACCCTCGTCACTCCCTTCTCAATCCGGGCAGGCGAAAGTCCAGGTAAGAAGATTTCCACTCACCATTGCCGGGAGAGGAGAGGGCCACGCTCCTCTCGCCCCAGCTGCTCCCACAGGAAAAGGAAGTACTTAGAACTCCTTACTCTATATGTAACCTTCAGCTTGTTCACACACTGCCCCGCCACAGAACAAACGCAGGCACAAAATATCTCTCTACTATACTAAGTAAATAAAAAAAACAGCGTGTTATTTTTTATATGTATCAAAGCAWKGGATCTATGTTTCCAAATCTTAGAAAACTTGCTTAGAAAGGAGGGACTCCTTTTAGCGGAATAATCCTTAAGAGGGCGTGACCAATCTCGCGAGAGGAGGAGTCTTTCACTGCAACCACTACATTTATTTAAAAAAAAATTTCTGACGGGAATAGAAAACTATTGTAACAAGAAATTTCACTGAGTGCTCTATAAACAAAGTTTAATTATACKGACAAAAGGAATTGGTTTCCAACTAGTAAAAGTAGTCCCGGCGGGGCGGGGTTACGGCCACTGACGTCGGCGTCCGGGCGCGCAGTTCAGTTTGGCGGTTCCGGGGTCGGGAGTAAGACCGGGGCAGAATGTGGGCGCAAGTGAGCCGAGGAGCTGAGGAGTTTTACGCTCGCCTTCTTCAGTGAGTYGTAGTTTATAACGATAGCTGGATATAGGAACAGCATTTCTATAATACTCTCTAGGTATCCAGATCCCGCCCCAAGCTTTTTGCTGCACCTTGAGAATGAGCGCTTGGCCTGCTTTGCTGGGGAAGAGACCGGCCTCCTGCTCCAGTGTGGGGGCCCAGCCTGTGGTCCTAGGAGTAAATATCTGCACGTTATCAAAATAGGCAGAAGGTGACACATATTTAGGAGGCAACTTATTTATTCTGTTTTTGCGCACGCTTGTGATTTAWGTAGAGGCATCTTCCAGGATATGGAAACTGGATGTCGCCATCCTTCACCTGTTCAAAGCCTTGCTAAAAGTGAAACGGATTGTTATAGTCTGTTCAAAGTGGTTACCGTATGATCTACACTTTTAATGATAACGGCATGAGGTGTTGATTTTAAAAGCACCTTTTTTTTTTCACTGCTCCACGACTTCATTTTGTTCTTATAGTTAAGTATTACAACCAAAGGGATTCTATTAAGTTCTTCACCATACATTAAAGTCTAATTCAGTGGGTCGGAAATTTGCGTGTGTATCAGAATCACCTGGAGGATTCTCAAAACACAGATTGCTAGGTTCCACCTCCAGGGTTTCTCACTTATTAGGTCTGAAGTGGGGGCCACAGAATTTGCCTTTCTTACAAATTCATTATTCTTTAAATGCTATAATTTTTCAGGGTCTTTACTGCTTTTTCCCTCTGCAGTAATGCTTTACATTATGACGAACACTAGCATTTTAAAAGAAACTAACAGTGTCTCGGATATCTTTCAGTGTGAGAATGTATGTATCTATCTGATCGTTTACTTGCTCCCACATTCTGCCCTGGTCTTACTCCAGTGTCTGGAAGTATACAGTACTTCATTCTGTGGTTGTTCTATGACAAAACTTAAGCCCTTTATACTTCCCAAATATTTAATGAGTGTTATTAGTTTTTTTCTTCACTTGTAAGCACCAAAAGTTTCTGTCTCTTGTACCTCTATATCCAGCTGCCTAATGGAAATTTTTATGTGGAGTCTCAAAGTCAATACTTGAAGATTGAATTAATCTTTCCACTTAACCTGATGTTTTTCTTCTGATTGATTGATTGATTTTTGTAGATTGAACCCAGGGGCACTGTACACTGAGCGGCATTCTCAGCCCTTTTAGTTATTGTTTTAAGACAGGGTCTCACTAAATTACTGAGACTGGCCCAGAACTTTCGATCCTCCTGTCTCAGCCTCTTGAGTTGCTGGCATTACAGAGGTATGCCACTGAAYCTAGCTCCACTCTTGAATTCAGTCTCTGAATTAAAAGAGTTCTAAATCCAATACCCCAACTTCCTTCTCTTTTTCACTGTCCCCTACTCCCACCTCATCTAGGCTGTCCTTTTATCTTTGCTTCACTCCTGTTGAGGCCACTATGACTTCTCTGAAGTGCTGTAAGTTATTCACAGCTATTTTCCTGGACTTCAAGTTATATTTCTCATTTAAATCTTTCAGTAAATTCCCCTGGGCTTTCAGATAAAGTTCAAGCCCTAGCTAAATCTCCACCATAGCTTCCTGTACAGTACTTGCCTCTGACAGAGCACTCATGACCCTGTAGCTAGCTCTTGATTTACTCTTTGGACTCCAGTCAAGACTGCATTCTCTCTGCCTCCACCCCATGCTGGGGATTGAACCCAATAGCGCTCTACCACCAAGCTATATCCTCAATCCTTTTAATTTTATTTTTGATACAAGGTCTTACTAAATTGCAGAGGCTGGCCTTGAACTTGACATCCTCCTGCCTCCTGTGTTTCTGGGATTATAGGTGTTTACCACCTTACCTGGCTAAGACTGTATTTAACATCCCTAGCATCTAGCAAGAGTGCCTGGCTTAAAATATGTATGTTTGTTGACAATTGTTGAATGACTGACTAAGTAATATCTTTGAGTCATACTTAAAAGGTAAATGTCTTTAAGAATAAGTCATAATCTAACACAGTATGGCAAAAGCAAATTAGTCACAGGCCTGCTCACCTGTTTCTATTTCAGTAGGTCGTATATTAGATCAAATAGATGTAAATGGTATCCTAAAACAATGCTATTGGGGCCCTTCAAAGACTTTTTCAGAGCGTAGATCAGGCTGATGTGATTTTGGTATTGCGTTTTAGTATGTTAATTTATAGTTCATATGTAAAATTTATTGAATTAAGTGATAGTTATTAAATGATATCCTAGAAGTTTTTGCTTATATTTTAAAAAGGAAATATTTAAAAATTTTTTTTTTAGTAACTGTCAAATTTATTGGTTTTTTGTTTGTTTGTTTTAAGTAAAAGCTCACACAATGGAGAAGAGATGGTTCTATTTAGCCGAAATCTAAGATCTGAGACTTTTAAGTAACTTCTCAGAAGTTAACCACTGATTCAGTGTCAGATCAGAATTTACTCACTTTTAATCTTCCAAAATTTATGTGGTTATGTATTTGAAAAAGCATAAGTGAAGAGGCCGACGACATAAATTTCTGCTGCCTCTAAGAAACAAATATGTCTGCTGGGTGTGGTGGTGCTCATATGTAATCTTAGCAATTTGGGCGTCTGAGGCTGAAGGATTGCAAATTCAAGGCTAATCTTGTCAACTTAATGCGACCCTGTCTCAAAATAAAAAGATAAAAAGGGCTGGGATGTTGCTCAGTGGTAAAGGGCCCCTGGGTTAAATGCCTAGTACCAAAATTTAAAAAAGAAGAAGAAACTTGTGTACAATTGTGGGTAGCAGTTCATTAATCTATCACAATTTTTTTTTCCTTCTTTATCTAAGCACTTCTTTTTTCTCCTCTTTCCAACTATGCCCTAGGGCTGCCATAGGTATTTTTATTTTTCCCCTCACTGATATCATGCAGAGGTAAAGTGCAGCTAACTTCTAAGTTTAATTAAGCTATAGCTCTATTTTTCACATGTGGTTCTTCATTTCAGAGAATATAATGAAGAAAAGAAAGGAATCTGTAAAGACCCATTTATCTATGAGGTATGAAATGTTTATTTGGTTTTTAAACACAACTTTACCCTAAAAATTGTAGGGTTTTAAGTCAGATTTATTGAAATTAATTTACATTCAGCAAATTTCACTGTTTTGGGGTACAGTTCTGTGAGTTTTGACAAATACCTTTAGTCATATCACTTCTATCCAAGATATAGAACATTTTTTAAAAATATTTTTTAGTCATTGATGGACCTTTATTTATTTATTTGTATGTGGTGCTGAGAATTGAACCCAGGGCCTCACACGTGCCAGGCAAGCACTCTACCTCTGAGCCACCACCCGAGCCCCAAMATTTCTTTATCTCTGAAAATTTTCTCATCTCTGAAAATTTATCTCTGAAAATTAGCTTTAAGACTGCGGCAGGAGAATTGCAAGTTTGAGTCCAGCCTGGGCAACTTAGATAAATAAAAAGGGCTGGAGATGTAGCTTAGCATATAGAGTGCTTACATAGCATGTGTGAGTCCCTGGGTTTAATTCCTAGTACCAAACACAATTTTTTTTCCTCATGTTCTTGTGAGGATAACCTTTTCCCCTGCCCTTAGTTCCTAGCAACTACTAATTTGGTTTTTGTCACTATAGTTTTGCCTTTTTCAATATATATATATATAAATAAAATCATCTAGCCTTCTGGCTTTTTTTT